TATTTAAAAAAAAAAAAAAAGAAGCTCATTTCGAGTTTATAGAATATACATTTATATAAAATAATATAATTTCAGTTTTCCAAACTTTCCTGAAAAAAGAGCTGCATTAGTGTCAAGTCAGCCAGTTAAAATCAGAGTTTTAGCTAGCAGCAGAAGTAGTTACCACTTAAAATCCTGTCCCCTTTTGGCCTCTGAAGCATGACTCAGCAGTTCTGGCTGATGACACTTAACCCTTAAGTCTCTTAGTAAAACAGAGGGGTGATGGACCTTTTCTATCTGATAATAAAGGAATCTCTCCAGCTCTGGTGTTCAGATGAACTCCAGGCCCTCGTACTTCACGTCTCCGATCTTTGCCTCCGGCATCAGAGCACGGCCGTCTACCGTTTTCTAAAATACGCGTGCAAACGTTAAGAAGACTTCAGGACAATCTGCCACCCGGTAGCCTATTACTGAAGAACAAACAACCAAATCTTACATCACATATATTTGAATTTATAGAATATACATTTCTATAAAATAATATAATTTCAGTTTTCCAAACTTTCCTGAAGTGTCAAGTCGGCCAGTTAAAATCAGAGTTTTAGCTAGCAGCAGAAGTAGTTACCACTTAAAATCCTGTCCCCCTGATGGCCTCTGAAGCATGACTCAGCAGTTCTGGCTGGTTACACTTAACCCTTAAGTCTCGTAGTAAAACAGAGGGGTGATGGACCTTTTCCATCTGGTGTTCAGATGAACTCCAGGCCCTCGTACTTCACGTCTCCGATCTTTTCCTCCGGCATCAGCACGCGTCCGTCCAGTGAGAAGGCCGTGATGTAGGTGGCGATCCGGCCCGCGTCCTCCTCCGACTTCAGCGCCAGGACCAGCCGGTCCCCTGTGTCTGGGATGAACCTGAATGAGGAGAACCCGTGCGTGGGGCTGAGCGGGCCCACCCGGCGGGCGCTGATGCGGCTGAAGTCCTCGGGGCAGGACAGCAGCAGGTTGGTGGCGCGCCGCTCGTCCGCGGCTTCCTCGTAGCGATCGTGACTCGCCCGGCGGGGCAGGAAGAACCAACGCCGGAGCCCCGAGCTCCACGCCGCCGACTCGTGGATCAGGTAGCCTGGAGGAGAGGCAGCAGAAACAGGAAAGACTTAAAATGTGAGGTGTAGCAGCAGGTTAGCAGCCGTATTAGCTTTAAAGGAGACATATTATACCCTATTTCAACAAGTTAAACCAGTTCCCTGGTGACATTCAAAGACTGGTGAATCAGGTTGAAAGCCCCTAAAAGTCCTAAAAATAAAAAACAACTGGACTTTGTTGAATTGGTGGCGCTCTGGAGC